GTCTACATTGCATTTAACATTCAATCTACAAATGATTGAATATTAGAATGATAATTGGCAGMATGTTAATGCAGAAAATAAGGCTTTCAGGAAAGCAGATGCTGTTCTAGTTCCCATGGCACCATTCCCAATATTTGTTTTATACTCCTGAGAGAAAAGAGGAAAGCAGAGCAAATGTGAAACCTCCCACTCAAAATTCTCAAAGTAATATTATAATTCCCTCTAAGACTCCAGCCTTGCTGTCAAATTGCTTTTCCTGTCAAGTTTCCAAATTCTTTTATTGAGAAAGGATAATAATTATAATTATCCAAAGTTTGAGTAGGTGAGTTTTTATAAAAATAAATTCTCATTGAAAAACCTTGTACAGTTAGTAATTTAATTTGCACAGTATGATTACCACAATAAAACAGTCTCATATACATATATATGTTTGTGTCAATGCATTTCTTGCCCAATTATCACCTTCATGGGAAAATTGCTGGTTTGATTCAGCAATCTCAGTAATTATTTATACAAATGATCTCAGTATTTATTGCTTCAAAGAATTATTCACCAGTGCAGACTTTTTTTCCTACACTTTCCAATGACATTACTCAACTTTCTGATGCACTGCTATACCATTTTTTATCCATCCAGCTGATAGTACATTCCATAATTCCTTGGGCTCAGCAAGAACCTTCCTAGAAAGCTCAAGAAATATTTTTTTTTAATATTTCAGTTCAGCCATGTTTATATCTTTGGGAAGAGGAAATGTTCTCAAAGTTCCCTTTATCATATTTTATTTGTAAACATGTTCTCAATACTGCAGACCTTGGTATTCCCAGAAATTAATTTTTAATTTGGCACCCAAGTGGTGGTACCACAGCTCTTTAAATACAGAAATAAGGCCATACAACTTATCTGGAATCGTCAGGGGATACAACTGAAGAAACAGAAAGCAACAAAAGCAGCACAAATAAGTCCATAGCTGGAAAAACACCTTAGTTTCTCTGTGCATGCATGACAATCCTTCCACTGTCATTTAGATTTCGTTAGAAACTCATCTTCCCTGTACTAAGTGCAGGAGAAGAATGCAGAGCAGCTCAGATGAGACGCTTTACAGAAGTAGATGAAACAGCTGCTTCAAGAGAATATGCTGCAAAAAAACTCTTTTAGACAGAGTCTTAAAAAACCCTAACTTTGGCACCAAATGTTAAGCAGAGAAATAGTTTCCTGCATCTGTAAGGGACTTAGGCAAAGGATTATGCTGAAGCACYCCAAATAGGTGCTCTTCTGAATTGGAACCTGTCAAAGATTCTTCTTTCTTAGTTACTGTGCTTGAGGAGCTGCAGTGAACAAGTACAGGGTAGTTTCAAACTACCTTGGGCTCTTAAATCCTTTCCAAGGACCAAGCCCTACCCCAAAGCTTTTTGAAACCAAAAGGACTGAAGCCTTGCAGTGATGCTCAGAGTCTTTCAATCAGGCTGGAGAATCACAGAACAGTTTGTGTTGGAAGGGGAGTGGAAAGGTCATCCAGTCCAACTCCTTCACCATGAGCAGTGACAACACTGATTGGCACTTCTCACCACCACTGCCCTATTTTAAAAGAATATCCTAACCTTTGAAGTATACAGGGAAATTGATTAATAGTTATTGTAGCCAGTAAGCCTCTAACAGTCTGAAATATATATATAAAGATCAGAGCTACTGAAGTTGGGTTATTTGTATGTCTGAAATTATAAACTCATCTTTACATTGAAATATAGCAAACTACTGTCTCTATGTAATGTCAAGACGTTTGAAAAAATGGGGTTCTGCAGCTTTACTGATAGCAGATGGTCAGACCCAGACAATTCTGCAACTGAGTGACCTTGACTGGTGGTTTGCTTTGCGTTGCTCRTGGTCCTCCCCAGGCTGTGGTGCCCACATACCAGATTGACATCAGCACCACATATTTGCAGGTGGGTTTAAGATGATGTCAAACTCTGTCAGAATGTGAAATTGGCAGCCCACAGTCCCTCAGGCAGCATTTGCTGTGATGATCCTAAGCCAAGGTGACATAAGGAGAATGATTCTCCAGCCCCTTTTGAATGGAAATACAGCTGTGTTGTTTTAGGATGACAGCCTTCCCTGGGAGTAGAGWGGTTTTTGACTGCTTCACATCTGGATTGCTTGGGAGGCTGAGTACCAGCCTAATGTTATTCCTAGAAGATTATCAATTGGAGTAAAGCAACTGCCCTATTTAGTGATTAATTACTACCTCAGATGGATTAATTTGATGAAAATTCTCTCTAGCAGCAAAAATCCTTAAAAGATATTTCCATGACAGTTCTTTGCTTCTTCTCAGAGATGGAACTCCAGAGCAAACTACTGTACAAATATTTTTATAGTTCTAATGACTACAGCTTATTTCTATGCCATAACAAAAGAGTTCTGAGAGAAAGAAAAGCTTATTGAAAAACAGAATTTCCCCAGCCTTGCTTGCTGCTGAATATATATTGCTGAATATAATATGAAGCCTATGCTGATTAAAAAAAAATTGCTTTAATCTCATCCTATTGTTTTCAATTTCTGTCTGGGCTCTCATCCTTTTTTTAATGAAAATTAAAAATTGCAACACTGCATTGAAAATGAGCCATGAAAGTAGGATCCTTTGAAATTAGTATTTCTGCAGGTCCAAACTTTCCGTTATTTAACCTTTAAGATTCAGTTTAGAAAAATCACTGTCTTTGCATAATTTCCAGTGAATAAACTGGGTAATAAAGACCTTCCCTCTTCAACCTCCTCTACCCCAATTTTGAAAATCATGTCATAAGATCTGGATCAGAAATGAACTATTTTCACTGCTTGGAAAAACATTAGTCACGGAAATATCTCCTAAAATAAGCTGTGCTCAGCTTGGCAAAGAGTCTGTATTTGCTTTTTCCAAGAAAAAGAAAAAATATTTTACTTTTCTACTTCAGGATTACTCAATTGTTCTAAAATCCCACACTTTAATGTGCTTATGCTGGAATTATTTGCATTGAACTGGCTCAATATTTCATAGTCTATGCTTAAAGTGACCTAGATCCCAGGTATTTTTCTAAGGCCACTAACCAGTGGATGAGATGGTAAAAGTACACTACAAAGTAACTTCTGCWTGGAGTAGCATAGAGAACTTACTGGTTTTCATCTTTGGATCAAATTCTGCCAGTTTCCTTTTATTTGGCAGTATATATATATAAATATATATAACATATATATTTTAAATCCCAGAATTTTTCTGTAAGGCTAAGTGAAGAATTTCTATGGTGTTATATTACATTACAGCTAATACTAAATCTTGAAGAGGGATTTTCACTGCGGTAGAAGTCTTTTTCATTAGGGCTTTTGAAGAGTTCAGTCAGCATTCCCATTCTCCCATGACCTGCTAAATCTCAAGGATTCATTTTTGCCATCTAGTGGCTTTGAGCAGAATTAAAAGAAATCTGCTAACAACAAATTTGAAAATTAGTTTGTGAAAAAAGACAGCAGTTTTAATTTACGTCTGAACAAATTAATTATKACTGGAAAAGAAGACTATTCCCTCCATGTAACCATTAACTGAACACTAACATTAATCCTCTGTTTTCTTTCAGTGTGTGGGCACTGAGACTCCTGTGAAAAGAACAGCTGAGGTTTCTACAATAGAGTGTGGCACGGACTTGCACTGACTGAGGGAGGAGGTTACTTGGAGGATCCCTTATACCTAGTGTGTCTTATAGCAGTCCTGGAAATCCGTAAGACAACCAAAGCAGAGCCCTCTTCTGCTGCCCACCTCTCTTCTATTCTTCGGGGGCTGGACACAGAATAGTATTTAACAAGTCATTTTCAAAAGTAATATAATTAACAGACACTTCGACTTAATGGATAGGCTTTTTTTTACATACAGGTAGATGCCATAATAAAAATTCAATAGAACTTGGCAAGYTCCACATAAAATAGCAGTGTTCATTAAAAACTATAACCCAGAATAAACATATTTCATTTTATGAAAGTACAATACAACATTGATTTAAAAGATACAAATAAAGAAGCAACAAAAYGCACTATCACTAAAKTATTTCAACACCAACAGCTAGGAGCCATCTCTGAACCRAATATCATKAATTAAAATCTCACCATTTTCTCTGTTAAAAAYTATTCTGGAAACTCCCTCAACATTCAGAATCATAGAATGGTTTGGGYTGGGGCCTTAAAGACCCTGTAGTTTGAACTTCCACCACGTYCATAGGCAGGGACACCTCCCACTTGACGAGGCTGCTCAGAGCCCCATCCAAACCAGCCTTAAACACTGCCAGGGATGGGGCATCCATAGCTTCTCCGGGMAACCTGTACAAGTGTCTCACCACCYTCACAGCRAAACTTCTTTCAAATATCTAATCTGAACCTAACCTCTTGCAATTTGAAATTCTTACCCCTTGTCCTATMAYRACACACGCTGGTACAAAAGTCCCTGTCCATTTTATAAAACAAAACCAAACTAAATTTGCATTTTAAAGAACTGTACATATTGTAGTAATACTTCATGGACAAAACATGGTGCACTCCTTTCAAAAAAAACAAAGGTTCACATCCTTTCAAAAACAAAACTCGCCCAATATTGCAAAATAAAATTACATGATCTCTCGATTTTAAATTTTTGAATCTGCTGTAATTTAAAAATGTAATRATTTATACCAAATTTCAAGAAATAGAGATGTCAGTATAAAAGATCTGGTCCATCACTGAGCACTTTGAATTTTTCTTCCCAGTTTCATGGCTGTTATTTCAGAATACAGTAACAATAACAAATACTGTTTGTATGGCAGAAGTGTCAGAATTAAAGACTGAATTCCTATTGCAATTAAACACCTAAAAAGAAATCAGAAACATAAAAACTGATGCATGAATAGAAAGCTAATTAAGAAACTGGGAWCAGAAACCTGCCCACTTTTACTAGTGACAAAAGATGGAAACTGACAAAACCAAAAACTTTTTACAGTATCTTTTATTGACATTTGAAATAAAGGTTTCGAAAAATATGCTGTAAACTTCCTTAACTGTTTATTAAGGAATATTTTTTAAAACCAGATGAGGCATTCCAGGTTTTTTAAGGTGCTGACAATTTATTTTACAAATTCATAAATGTAGCACAACTTATATGAAAAAATATAACAATACAGTCAACTGTGAAACTGTAGAGTATCACACGCAGTCAGCAAGATTCTTTCTTTCTTCAAATTGTTTGTCTACTGCAAGTGAAAGAGCCTGAAGAAAAGTAGCCATTGTAACACTGGGAGACTGAGAAGAAGAGAAAATTTTGTTACTCACCACAGCAATAGGCAGACATAATATTTTACATACAAATCATAGTATTTAAAAGAGGAATATTTGACTTCCACATTACAAAARTTTCAAAAATGCTACCAAACAAACTCTAGGTTTATTTTAAGCCAGCTAGCATAGCAAAGTCAAAGTCAACCTATGCAAAGTCTTGAGTCAATCACAATTGCTGTATACTTGCTAAAAAAAGGGGTTTAACAAATTACTATTATTTATGAAATGGCAGAAAGATTTTTTTATTCAGCAAGAAATTATGAGAGTATCAATACAAATATCAATGTTCATTAATTTAGTTAAAAGCAGAATGCTGCTGGGCGGGTCAATCCCACCTGTCTTCTTCCCATTCAAAATTATGGAAAGCACATAATTGTTTCAGTCTACAAAGCTGCAGAAACAAGTGTAATTTAGTTTAAAAGGGTTTGGGCCAATCTTTCCGTTCAGGGAGTGTTCAAATGTCATCCTGYCTGTCTCAAACCCAGCCCAAAACATAATGAATAGAATCAACTTACTTGAATATAAAGTGCATGTGCTAGGAAAGGAAGCTTCCTCAGGACCCGGCCACCAAGACCTGCACTTTTTCTACAGTAAAAGAGAGACAAATGCTGCTCAAATGCTAAATATCCACTCTTAAAAGAAGGCCTTTCCTTTTTCTGTGTTTCTCCATTAAGTTGCTCTAAAAAAAACCTCAGATCACAATTCAGCAGGTCACTTGCAGCTCTTTTAGCAGGGCCAGGCACTGAACAGACAAATTCTGCTTATGGGAGGCTACAGAGCATAGCACAGAAAAGGCAGCAAGGTACAGAAACAGCACAGGTACAGCTGCCTGCTGGTGCTTACACCAGGCCCTTCACATTGTTGTGCCACATCTCAGGAACTGGGGGAATGTCTACACTGAAACAGCACCGTACAGACACCACTTCTGGAAGGACTRGGACAAAACTATTTTGAAGGCTGGATCTTACAGGTACTGCCTGTCTTCCCACCTTTTTTCCCACCTTTTTCCCACCTTTTACACAGTTTMCTTCACCTCACCCACTTGGTTTCCATCTTCTCCAAGCACCACTCTATGTATGTAAAATGCAAACCTCTATGCCTGGAAAAACAATTGCTTTTACTTCACTCTGCACTGGTTAAGACTACATACTTCAGGAACAGAAAAAACCACACTTGCCTGGCTTTATGAATATTATTTTGTCCCATAGGGACCAGCACTTAGGAAAAAAAAATTGCTTGATATTGTGGGTATCATTTTTATTGTTTCAAGAACTGCTTTGCTGCAGTGAAAAACTATTTGCTTTACCAACATACTCACAAACCATAACACTCCACTCCTTTCCCCCTTATTTCTGCCCACTTGTGTCTCCATGCTAAATAGTGATCTAGCAGATGGTGAGGCATTTCAAGACACTTTCTTAGCAAGACCTAAGGCTCATGCTATTTCTGCTGAACTGCATTACAACTCCCAACATCCATTAAAACCTAACATTAATCCAGCCAGCAATTTGCTAAAGGACTTCAAATGGCAGARCAGAAATCAGAAACAGTACTAGGCGAAGCCAGATTTGAAATTAAAAAATGWCAGAAATTAGGATCATTTCCACTTTTTGTGCCCTGAAGGTTTTTGCCCATCCCCAGCAGAAAAAAAAAATCAAGATGTTTCAGATCTTTAGCTGTTTTGAAATTTGGTTACTTTTATACATCATTCCACAATTCAGTATATATATATATATATACTTGAGAAAAGTAGAATTTCAGAATCTTACCTTGAGATTTCTTTCAGTACAAGGCTTAACCGTGACACATGATTTTCTACAAAGCCTATCATCTCGAGCTCTCTTAGTGTCAGAAGCTGCTGTCGAGGATATATTATTTGACACTAGAAAGAAGAGGTACACACTGTTGTATGAAAACTCARTGCATTCAAAATTAAATTCTAGAGTAAGATTGGAAATACAGAGATGGAATTAAATTTAAGTACTTCTACTACTTAGGAAGTTTTATTAAAATGTCAAATTCACTAAAATATGACAWTTTACAGTTTTGTTTTCAAGTATTACCTTCATCAGTTCTTCCAAACARGAAAGGTATATTCTAAATATTGCTGCAGTAGATGGAGGTCCAATGTATTGTTTTATGTCAGCCCTGTCTACAAAGGCCATGTCAATTTTCTCTGTAATATTTGAAGTAGTCAGGATAACTACATTGGGATACCTTCAAGACAAAAACAGATTTTTAGGTCACATGTGAAAGATTTATCTCCTTTTGCAACTGGCAGGTTGAGACCTTCCTTCTTATGATTCAGTCATTTTATGCAATAAGCATGACAGCACTCTTGTCAACTAGGAATTACATTAAATGATCTGAAGCTAGACTATCACCAGACTATTTCAATGCTGTCTCTTTCCTTTAGCTGTTTCTCAAGAGTCTATAGCTCCTCTAACCCTATTTCAGAAGTGATATACATTAACTGTCAGAGCCTACTGGGATACTTTCTGACACACACAAAAAAATCATCAAAAGAGGAATTGTAAATTTGAACCTTTAATTAACATGTTTTCCATTTCAATTTTGATGTCTGTTCTTCAAGCAGACATCATGATGATCTGTCCTTTTCCTCTCCYTATCTTTAAGGGAAGCATACTGTCTGCAGATTTGATTGTCCATCCAGATACATGTAAAATATTTTGCTGGATTWCTCCTATTTCTTTTCAAAATTAGCATAATTAACAAAGAATAGCTCACTAAACAGTCTAGTTTAGTATTCCAAACAGGACTGAAATTTAGCAGGAATAAGAATACTGAAATTGTCAATTATCTTTTGCTGTTGCAATAATATGCAAATAATACCTTTTAATTTGGTCTATTTGTGTCAGTACAGCATTTACCACACGAATAGCATCTGAAGGCTCTGTGCCTGCCTTAAAGGCACTGCGGGCTGCTGTGAGGCTTTCCACCTACAAAACACCAAACCAATCAACCAAAACAACAACAAGAACAACAAAATCACCAAACAACCCAAAAAGATTGCACATTTGGAGTCCTGGCAGCAAACAAGTAATCTATGCAATACACCTTCAGATCCCTTAGCCTGCTATCTAAAACTTCATCRTCAAAATCCTTTGTTAAATAGGAATTTCCAGGGGGAAAGAAAGGCATGTCAAGGATRCAAAACTTAGTGTGTGAAATTCCTGTTCAGACAGCAGAACAAAAGCTGTTTTTCATTTTAAATTTTGGGAGTGGAAGGAATGGGACACACCACCAGAATAAAGAATAGAWTGAATGTGGAGTGAGCTTCCCTACAGGAACTCCAATATGACAAAGCTAATAAGATACTTACTAAGTAAAAAGCATAATAAGGTACTTAATAAGGTATTTACTAAGTTGCTTATGTATGCAAGTTTGAAGAAAATCTAGTGACAATCCACAGAACCATATTCATGGTTTTTTTTGAGCTTTACAACAAATGAAAGAGTGGAAATAATACAAATCCGGGCTACTCTAAAGTTTAAAATAATATTCCTCTTGTAAACAAACAGCAACAAGGGAAATTCCACCAAGGAAGGTTTCAGTTAATCTTCAGCTGCAATATGCCTACTAAGTCATGCTATGTTCCTTTCAAATCTYTCAAATCTGCAGCAGTCAAGACTAAAATTCACTCATCTGCAGAGTTATGTAGCATAACTGTGCTTTTATTGTTCTTTTCAAATTATTCCGCTCCTTCCCATCAATTTCCTTTCTGCTAAATTTTATGTAYAATGATGCTATTGGAATCATACCTCATCAATCAGTACAAACACAAGAGCGTCTCTGTCATCAACTAATTCTTGGATCTTCTGGAACATCTTGGTTACAAGCTTGCCGCTCTAGAAAGACACCATATGCATAGATTTACCTATTTCCTTACCACACAAGTTTCCAAGGCTTACCATATTTAAAGATGGAAACATCTGGGTTTGAAAATAACTTTCTAATATAACTTCTATTAAGGCATTTTCAAACACATTAATYATTTGGAACAATCTCTGGTGCACGTAATTAGGAAACAAGCTGAATAGAATAATTACAGTGCAATTTCTAAAAYACAAAGTTAATTTAATTAGCTACATCAATACATACCTCAGAAAACCATTTAGAGAAAAGGCTATGGCTGTTTATCTCAATTAACTGTCCATACCTATACCTAAAGTATAAAGGGAAAAAGAAGTATCAACTCTATTGCAAATAAAAATCAGTGATATCTTTAACTTCTATAAAAGTCTCATTCCTGACATTCTGATCCTGGAATTCTGTCAATTAATACTTGAAATTCAAAACTTTCAAATACTTGAAATTAATACTTGAAATTCAAATACTTATCTTTCAAAACACAATACATGTTTTATCAGTATTACTTTTGTTGCTGGAAATTGTCATTTCTAGCAACATGTCTCACTACAGAATTCTGTATGTTAAATTGCTATTCGAATTCCTTCATCAGAACAGGGTAGGTAACAGCTTCAATGATAATTGCCTCATTCTTCTCTTCCTGTAAGATTTTCCTCAGTATAGCAAGAAGTATCTCAACCACACGTTATACAGCCCAGGACTTTCAGCTTGGCCCAGAGTCAGATCATGTCAATAATTACACATTATTTATGCTATGCCTTGTATTTTATATAAGTTATTTTTAGTGTAAATTTGTTGTGTTGCAATTAACTTTTAGGCTAATTCTTATTACCTGTCTGATACGCAAACTGACTTCTGCGGATTGTGGCATTCAGACACTCCACRTAGAAAAGCAATTAATTAAAAAATTGCTACTTATTAAAAACCAGGCTCTATCAAACATGAAGATATAAAACCCCAAATATTCTTTGATCCTTTGTCCTTTAATATTCATTGATATGCAATGTGAGCAGAAAGTACTGTACCACCACTGGAATTCCTTTTACACATCTGGGTACAAATAATTACACATTTTAAAAGGCACTAAAATACCCTAAGCAGTCTAGCAGATCAATTTTATTGCTAGCCTGGTGCACTACAAAAAAAGAAGACACATTAGCACTAGGTACAAGTTACTTGAAATCAAAYATGAAATGCACTTGGGCTAGTGAAAAAGAACAACTAAGTATAGTAAGCTGAAGTGAAAAATTTCAAAAGAATTATCACCTGTATGATAGTCTAATTGTCAGCTTCTGAGCCAATGCTTTACAGAGAGAAGTTTTCCCAGTTCCAGGTGGGCCTGGTTTGAAATCAGATCCATACATTACACAGTCTGAATTAGATTGTTAATAACATCCAACAGCTTTTTAACCAGTCACGTTACAGCCCTAATTGTAGAGTAAAAACATAGCAGCCAATGATTGTGTACACCAGAATTTTTTGAGAAAATTGCTTATTCTGCAGTCCTAGAGCTAATGTTTGATTTTATACACTTTTCAGTTATTAGTATAGTTAGTGTAAGTTTGCATGCAGACAAATAAAGTCAAAACACTCAACAGCTGCAGAAGCAAAGCGTATCATCAAGCAGGGCGAATGGTTAACAGCATTCTCAGTAATCAGTGCTCTTAAACTGCTTAAACTTCTATCTCCCTGAAGTGTACTCTTCTAACATGAAAAACAGAAACATATAATATTCAGCTTCTGTCCACTTTCCCAGGAATTTCTTCCTTGGGGCAACCCAGATCATCTTAGGAACTATACTCTGGGACAWATCTTTTGGATCTAACTTGATACCCTGTGGAAAAAGCCACAAAGACTTTCTCCAAACATGCAGTACAAGCACAGTTATCAGAGTATGAGTCTGAAATAGTATTTCAAACAAAAACATCCTCAAACTTYTAAATTGACAGTTGTAATGTAAGTACAATCAAAAACTACTTCCACCACGACCTTTATTTTTGAATAACAGTCTTGATGAAAAAATGGCAAAGATGCATTTTACAAGAAAATGGAYTCAGTTGATGCTAATCTTGTTTGTGCTATAACAGCAAGCTAGCACTGACTGAAGACTTCAGCTTCACTGAAATAACARGAACTAAACTAGCTAGGGTTGGCAACAGAACAGTGTCAACAACACAATACACAGATCCATTTCCCAGTTTTCTCAAAGCTTTTCTAAACCTGTAAATAACAAAATATTTAATACTGTGATAGAAGGGTAATTAACATGTGTCTCCTAGTATCTTCAGTATCTGCATTATTTTTGCTCTTCATGAAAAAACAACATCACTTAAAAATTAAGAAAACCAAAGTTGTCACTGCACTGTAAACTCTAGAATTTAAAATCATGCATGTGAACATTGATTAGACTCAGACGTTACATTTCATCTAAATTTGTACTATTRAGGGAATACTTTTCTGCTGCTTTCATATCTCCTCATTTCCCTACACAGGGCTGCAATACAAGTTTTTGCAGAAGGAAAGCATAAACAGACAGCCAGTGAATCAACTTGGTTTAAAACAGGTCATTTTTACCATGCAGCAAAACAACTCTGTTCCACGATATCACGTTGCTGTCAACGTTTTTGTCAGAAAATAATAATGTTGTCGTCACGTAATCGAGTAACTAATTGGAGAGAACAAAAGGAAAGAAACAAAGTAGAGACATAACAGCAAATCCAACTACAAATAAAATCAATTTCCYAATCATATCTATTGTGTACTCATAGCTACAACAACCAAAAAAACRCTCATGTCTTTCAATCATAGGCAAATTTATTTCTGCAAAACATGGGAATTAATTTCTGTCCTGCCCTCAAGAATAAGAACAGCATGCATGTACTCAGCACAAATGGAGTTCCAGAAGTTTCAAATGAATAAAATAAATGTTTAAAGGAAGATAAATTAATTTCATTTTCCATTGTCCCCCATGCAAACTCTGGATCCTGTTTAGATGTTGTATAGCTATACATTTGTTCAGTTGTAGTCAGCCCACCACACAAAGCATTTCCTGTCACATTTTATTTCCTTTGTGCTGAAGAATTTGTATCAGCTACTGCAAAGAATTTGTAGATTATTCATCCTTCCAAATATGGGAAGTTGCATGTATTTCCCTGAATGCTTGCTTCTAAAAATACTGCCAYTTCATTTTAGAATTATCTTCAGGTGTGAATCTATACTTCCCCTCAAGCAACCTTAATTGGTATTCATTTTCAACTTACGTTTGCTTTTACTTCAGTGTCATAGATAAGACTTTCCCAAAGGCCATGGAATTCAGCTGCAAAAGCAATGTATTATATACCTGCTTAGGCTAAATCAGTCTTGAAACTTGTAAGTCATCATTGCAGAACAAAACAGTTTTCAAATTATGTTCAACTAAAATAAAGAATTGAGAGCAGATATATACAAAAGCAATTAAAGCACCTGGGGGAAAAAAAGTGAGTTATTTTTCTGAAAATGCAAGCACCACTTTCTAACAGACAAATTCAGCAGTTTCCCAGCTTCTGTTGCCTCAAATAATTGTGATGATAAATTAATGTTCATTTCTTAATAAGAAATGAAAAATATAATTTCTTCCATCCTCAGTAGGGGATGGACTCACATTTCACCAAGGGAGCAATGAAAAATTGTGGTAGGAGGAGGATTCTGAGGCAGATTTTAATCATTCAACTTGCTTCTTTTTTAAAATATCTAGATGTAGAGGACAAAAAAAAGCATGTAGCTGAATAATGCATAAAAAACTAAAGTTGACATTTGAGTATCAATCATTCTTAGCTGTTAGTTTCCAACTTTCAGCAAAGAAAAGCAAAAAAGACTGAACAACTATAATCCACAAAATTGTGAGAATAATGTCAATGTATCAGATTAAATTCTTCCTGAAAATAAATGTAATGGGTAATCAGGCATTTCACAACTTGGAAGGAGTAGGAAATGTTTCAGAATTACGGTCGCTCAGAGCTTAAGCTCACATCTGTGCTTATCCTTCCAGGCAGAGAATCCAGCTTCCCCAAGTACAAGGCAGTAACAGGAAGGTATTGCTCTGTCACAGAGCAAAATCTCTCTCCGGAAGACAACGACTAAAGACTTAATCTCTTTACTTTGTCTGTTTCATATATGAGCAGTACTGTCTTGGGGGTTGGAAGCCAGCAGTGGGCTCTGGAAAATTATTATTTAAAGTGATGAGTTTCTTGTGGGCCTTCAAGCTGAATAAAATTTGGAGTTCAGCTTGCAGGGTTAAAAACTTGCAAGCTTCTCATTATGACTGTACATGTTACACCAAAAGACCAGTTATTTCCACACATTCACAAATATTGCAGAAATAAATTATGTGTTTTGGAATCACCTGCAGCAGTTCAGTCAAAACCACAAAGGTCCAAATATATTCATTCCATAAAGAAAAATGTCCAAACATATTTGCTCTATAGAAAAACAACATATGTAAATAATACCATTAAACAGGTAACACTCTACGTACTTCTAGCCTTTGCAATATTTTCTTTCATTGTAATTGCTCTAGAGCTTCCAGAAATATCACATAGGTACCTGCTGGTAGCACCCAGTGGTGAGCTGCAGTGATATCCTCATTCTCTTCTTCCAGGTTTTCAGAGGTTGGTCCCTCYTCATTCAGATGAAAAATATGAATAGAAAGACTGCTTTTGCTTAGGTCAATAGGCTAGAATGAACATARAAATACTTGAAATGCATCATATTTCTCACTCAAGGCTAGTTACAACAAAARAAAATTCTCAGCTGGCATTCATCTCTGAAGCTCAAAACTTCTGTTTCAGATCTTACTAAGCAGTAAAAAAAAAAACTTAGCCACCTCCTTCTAGTTATACTAGACTAATAAAAGATACCACATCGTCCTAAAGACCTTGTCTTGCTTTTGCCCTTAGGGTACCACCAGTCTACCTGCAACTGGYTCAAGGCCACATGAACAGAGCTGCACATTCCTGACTGGGAATACCTGTCTCTCCTTCAGTTTCAGCTCCGTATCCACAATTGACACAGACTGCACGTTGTTGTTAAGGAAAGCATCGTCAAACTCTGTCCACTTGTAATCACCAAACACGATGTTGTGTCTGTTCAACAGCTTTAAGACACTAATCTTAATATCTTCTTCCTTGGCCGCACTAACAAGAAAGAAACACCATTACTTTAAGGCATTGACATTAATAAGGAMATTTGAATTAGTGTCAGAATGCATTATTTCATACAGGAGGCCTTCACGGAAAACAGCTCCCATCTCACACACACCAAAAAACCCAACCAAATCAAAAAACCCCACCCCAACAGCAACAACAAAACCCCAAACAACCAACRCAAAAAACCCCAAAACTCACTCAATCCTCCTCGAACATTCAGCAGGAAAAGAAAAACCTRTAAAATTCAATCTTTTTGCAAAAGCAACAAGCTTTTTATTTGTGCATTAGAAGACATAATCCAAATAATACTGTTTGCTTTGAGGGCGTATCAGAGGATACCCAATAACACAGCTAGGAGATTTCAAGAATCTTCTTATGCAGTCTGGCTGTGTTTCAGAAGGAAAAACAGAAAACCTCAAAGCCAAGCTAGTAGACCGAATTTGGTGAGCTTAGCTTGGAAGCTCTATTATACTTTCAGAACAGCTGAAACCTCAGAATGGGGACACAAGAATTCCAGAAGAGCCTATAAATACAGCAAAAATACATTTGAAGACTTAATTTTGCAATTTCAGTGATKTATAAYCAGTGCAAATTTCAGTGATGTATAATCAGTGCAAATTCTCAGATCTTTGTTTTTTAAGCCTGACAAAAATAGCACAGTGCATATTTTTACACCTTTATTTTCCTAATACCTTGGACAAGCTCTCCCATAGCATCCAGATATCCAAAGTGGAGAGATAAGGATTGGATAAATGGACAAGGTTGGTTAGACTGACCAGCTCAGAGGGCTGTGGTTAGTACAAAGATTAAGTAGAGCTGTCAGTAACTCAGGTGGTAAAGGTGAGATGATGCCATTAATAGTGGGACCAGCACTGTTTTTACATCTGTGCTTAAACCCTTGACAATGGGATGGAAAGTAATTGCATCAAGTTTATAGATGACACAAAAGCAGGGAGAGCTTTTGGTACTCTGGAGAGCAGGGCTGCTCTTCAGAGGCACCTCTGCAGGTTGACAATACAGCTTGACTGGAACCTTTTGATGTTCAACAAAAGTAACCATGAAATCCTATCTCTACACCCACTGCTCAGACAACAGAACAGGTCACAGCCCAACTAGATGAAACGTAGTTTTGCAGAAAAAGGCCAGGGTTATTGGTGGACAAGTTGGCAATGAATCAGCACTATGCCCCTGCTACAAAACAAGGACAACCTTATTTTAGGCTGTGCTACCAAGACTGCAGATGTTARGGAAAGTGACTCTTCCCATCTGCTGGCTTTGTGAGACCACGTCTGGAGTAYTGTGTGCAGTATTGAGCTCTGCTATAAGAGACACAAGAAAAAAGCAGGGTAAGCTCAGAATGTGGCCACCAACTTGATTATGAGACTGGATGACATGACGTACAAGGTGAAACTGAGAGAATTTAATTTGCTCAATCTCAGGAAGAGACACAGGTGTGGAAACCCCTGGGAGAGCAYCGGGAAGGCGGAGCTGGGTGCTGCGAGCTCCTGTAGGCGCACAGAATGAAGCCGAAAGGAAACAGGCACGAGTGGCAGCAAGTAATGCTCTGACCAGAGACCTGCTCGACTTTTGGTGAACTTCCACATGGATCTGAACGCTGTCACACACGTTTGGGAGCGCTTGCTTCAAATCCCCAGCGGCGTCATCCATCTTTCCCGCTCCTAGGGGAAAAGCGATGCCAAGGAGAAGCGACTTAGAGMGACTGCCGCACACACGCCCACGACACAGCCAGCCTTTTCCCGGTGCCCCGTGCACRTGCACACCGCCCACCGCAAGCACCGGGAACGGGACCGGGATCGGCACTTCCCTCCCTCAGGAGATGGAGACGGCAGCCTCGGGACACGCCGCCAGCGCAGCCGCGCGTCCGGGCGGGCGGGCTGCTCCTGCCTCAGCGCTGGGAACAGGGAATCACCTCACGGCAGGCACGGCCTCGGCAGCGACGCGCCGGAGCAGCGGCAGGAGCGCGGAGCGAGCCTGAGGCACCGGGMACACAGCGCGGCTGCCGCTGTTTGTAAAGGGCGCGCTGGGCAAGGCGGGCCGGCCCCTCACCCGGATCTTCCTCCGCGCCGGGAGGGAGGGAGGGGCTGTCAGCCCCGGCGCTTCCGGCGGGTCGGCTGGGGCTCCGCCATGGGGAAGAAGCACAAGAAGCACAAAGCCGAGAAGGCAGAGTGGCACTCGACCCCCGCCACGGGCTACAGCGGTAAGGGCGGGGAGCGGCTCTTTGTAGGCGGGACGCGCCCACCCCTTTCCCGGCGCAGCTGTCGGCGGCTCCGGCGTTCCTGCTCCAAGTGCCGGAGCTGCTGGCGGCGGGGGGGAGGGTGAGCCCGAGCGTCTCCGTGCTTCCCACGGCTGATCCTGAGGGGATGCAGTCGCTGCGGTGCTTAAGTGATGTTTAATTTCAACTTGCTCTGACAAGGGTCGTGCACCGTTTTTAGGGGAGGGCGAAGAATCGGTTTCTAAGGCGTTGCAGTTTTGTGGAAAATCACGTCAGATGTGCTGAACGACTGTTTGTTAGCTTGGATTTGTTAGCTTTAGCTATTGTTTTTCTTCCCAAAATGTATTGTGTATATTTTTGACTTGCAACGAATTCTTATAAACAATAGTTCTAGAAGAAGCTTTGGAGGTGGGGTTGTTTAGCCTGGGGAAAAGGAGGCTCAGGGGATTCCTTATCCGTCTCTATAACTRCCTGAAAGGATGTAGCCAGGTGGGGGTCAGCAGTGACAGGACGAGACGACGTGGCCTCAAGCTGCACTAGGGGAAATTCAGGTTGGACATTGGGAAGAATACAAAAAGGMTGATTATGTATTAGAATGGGCTGCCCAGGTAGGTTGTGGAGTTACACTCCCTGGAGGTGTTTAGGAAAAGACTGGATGTGGCACATAGTGCCGTGGTTTAGTTGGCATGGTGGTGTTTGTCATAGATTGGCTGCAATTTCAGATGTCTTTTCCAAAGTAATTGAGTCTGATTCTGTAACTGCTGTGTGCTATTGTCTCCTTGTGCCTTTTACTTTTTTCTTTAATATTTAGATTATGTGGATAAGCCTTTGGAAAAACCCTTRAAGCTGGTTCTTAAAGTTGGTGGCAGTGAAGTGACCGAACTCTCTGGGTCGGGGCATGATTCTAGTTACTATGATGACAGATCAGATCATGAGCGAGAACGACATAAAGAAAAGAAGAAAAAAAAGAAGAAAAAGTCAGAGAAGGAAAAAGAAAAGCATCTAGATGACGAAGAAAGAAGAAAGAGAAAGGTAAGCTGTGATTTTTAGAATTTAGACACAATAGCCTTCATGTGTGCTTATCAGGTCTAAAAYCTGGTGCAGAACTTTGTTTAAATCACTGTTGCAATAAACTTGTCTGGAGGAAACACATCACATACGTAGAAAAACCATTGTGCGTGAGTTGGTGTACTTCTGCCATTTAAAGGAGATATTTTCTGTGAGCAAAGTAWAAGCTTCCTGTTATATATTTTTATTTTTGTTATTTATTTGCTTTGAATGAATACTTCTGTTTTTCAGTTGGATGTTTTGTATGTTAGCCAGGTTTTGCTACCCTTTTAGGGAGGGTATTTTCAGCTTTTCAAATAAATCTGGGTTGCATTTCTCTTCTTGTCCAAATTATTGGATATTGAAATGGATATGTTTATTCAAAACATCTGATCTGTTGAGTACTGTGACGCATTATTTTGGTTGGCTCTTGGCATAACCTGTGTGCTAGGCTTTGTGGCTTTKTTGGGAGCAAGGGATGTGGTCAGCTTAGTTGTGTTGAACCTTGGGGAGTTTGATTAAAATCAGCAAGAAGGCATTGACAGTACAGTTGCTTGTACAATTTAATTTTAATAGTATTTTCTTTCATGTAATAATGATTCGCTGACCTTTCTGCTTTTTTAAGTCTTTCCTGTCATGTAGTTTTGCTGTTCTCCTGTGACAGGTGTTTCGGTGCTTCTTGGTGTGCTTTTGTAACTAACATATGTCACTTTCAGTTGATTCTTTTGTTAGGCTTGTATGACTAGAAAGTGATATATCTTGTAGGATTGTTCAGAAGCTCTTGAATACAGCACGATAGCACAATTTTCTTAGTATAATTGTTTCAGGCTGGGATTTGAAATGTAGCGAAACTAGCTGTCCTTCATACAAGATTTTGCAGTATCAGCTGCCTTTACTAAGTTGTGGGGTGGGGGTTGTTTGGATTTTTTTTCCCAGAACTTCATTATTATTGCGTTCAAAATAAGCTGATGGATAGCTAAATAACCAAACTGTAGTCTAAGGAAGATTAGTGAAAATGCTTTTCTGTACAAATGTGGATAACGAATGCCGGATTTCTGAAATGATTTAGGCATGCCTTTGCTTTGAAACTCAGGAAGAGATCATTAATTGCCATCACCATTTCTTACGATTATTTTGTTGGCTGAATTGTCACATATTTTACTCAATTCTGTTTTATGCGCCAAACAACAAAAATGTATTGATGAGAGCAGAGCTACAGACTGATCTTTACTGAAGAGTAAATTAACTTTCTTTTTCTCTGGTGTAGATTATTATTGTGCAGTTTTACATATGAATAGCTTCAGAGTTCACCATTCTTTTCTTAAAAGGGCAGGAATGATGGAACAATACTATAGCAAGTATAAATTAGCAAAAGATGAACAGTAGTTTCARTTGGAGAAAAAAATTGAAAAAGTGATAGTGAAAATGTGTGCAGTATTGTTTAAACCATATTATGACTCAGATGTTGAATACTCTGACTCATAAAAAAACATCACTGTTTCTTACCTTTTGGTGTATGGGATTGCACATTTCAAGTACATCCCTTGAAAATATGTCTTTTCTCTGTGATGCTAGGAAGAGAAAAAGAGGAAAAGGGAGAAAGAACAGTGTGACACTGAAGGAGAAACTGATGACTTTGATCCTGGGAAAAAGGTGGAGGTTGAGCCTCCTCCAGATCGTCCTGTCAGAGCATGCAGAACTCAGCCAGGTGAGCACAATGTGAAAAATTAAATAAGTTTGATTCTTTTTAAAAGCATACAAAACAAAAGTTTTGTCAAAYATACCAAAATGTAGAATTTTCACAAAGGTTTTCTGAAATTTAGGGACTTTACTTTTTCCAGCATTCAGAACTTTCTGCTATCTGAAAAGTCAAAATTCCTCTTGGTGCTTCCAGGTTTTATTGACTGATGTTGCCAAGGACATCTGTTTCTGGCTTCTGTTACTTGGCAGAATAAACGTAATTATAAAAGTATTATTGTGCATCGTGCTGCCCTAATTCCTTCTCTTTAGCATTTACACAACAGTGATCAGAATGTCTGAAACCAAGTTTTGCTTAGTTCAAAGGAAAAAACTCTAGTGGAAACTTCTTAGGTACTGTTATGTTTTTCTTTTGTGTTYTCTAACCTATGTGGAGTTTTAGTATCTCTATTCTCATCAAAAGGAAGTTGTGATAGTGTGTCTTTTAAAGACTGTAGGTATCACCTGCCACCCCTGTTTTTCATTTACAGATCTTTAATTCTCATCACCARCTGAAATATTTGTCAATTGTGTGTGGCAACTTCTGCATGTTTAATCCTTTCACATTTTGCCATGCTTTTTCTACCTGTAGCCATTGCTTGATTATTAAAATCCAGCATTACTCAGTGGAAACCTTTACTGATGAGAATTTTCAATTACATCATGATCTTAGTTACGCATAAACCTAGACATGGAACCTAGTAGCAAAAAACTGTGTCTTCAGGAATACTGTGAGTCTTGTCTTTGAAATACAATASTGCCCTTTGACTGTAATTCCAAGCAATTTTTAAATTGTAACTGCACACAGGAATKGTAGCCATCAACTGTCAAGGTAACTGAAATTTTCTGGTCAGAGTTTTAACTCTTTGGGTAGTCAGGAACCTTAACAATTGGTCCCTTTATTATTCTCTTCTCATCTGCTTGTAAAATGGTATGGAAAAGCATACAAATTACCTGACCCARTCTGGGTAAGAAAGGAAATGTCTCTGCTATTTCATGATAAAGAGTGGTAGTTYTAATTCTAGATGCTTCTTTAATGTTTCAAACTTCACTAAAGCCAGTGTCTCTGAAGAAATAGGTAATTAACCCGCAGTGTTTATTGTGTAATCTGCACAGGAAGTGAAATTGTAATCAGTACCTCTTTTGCCAGCAAATCTGCATCTTTTTGTCACTCTATGATTAAAGGTTCAGAGAAGCTGATTGCATGGGGTTTATGGTAAATAAACCATTAAAACTGCATGGCTAACATGTTGTAAGAATGTGGATTTCCCAACTGCAGTATCTGAGCAACCAAGTTTCACTTTCCCTGCAAAAATATATAATACCTTATTTTAMTGTTATCAATACATATTCTTAGATCTACTAGACTAAGCACTACGTCTGATTTAATAGGTACTATGTTTTAATGTAATGAAAAAAAAAGCTCAGAAAAAAAGCTTAGAAGAAGTAGGTACTGTATGCTTAGAAACCTGATGTGCTTCTGCTTTGAAATCCTTTCACATTCAGCTTCAGGTCAGTACAAGCTGTACTTGTTGTAAGATTTTCTCTCTGATACTTGTATTTTTAAATAAACAAGTATACCTGTATTCTGTTTCATTGTACTTATCTGTGGTTTCATCTCAAAATGCAGCTGAAAATGAGAGTACACCGATCCAGCAGTTACTGGAACACTTCCTTCGCCAGCTCCAAAGGTAGTAAACCTTATTGTGTTCAGCTGTGTTGGCAGGGTTTAATGCATATTTATATGTGTTACTTTACAGCTTCTTATCCTGGTTTTCTATTTGAAAATAGGGCCTAGAGACTGACTTTGATATATTTGTTAACCTTTGCCACTATAGACCTCATAGTTTTTAAAGATGAGGAAAATTATCAACTTTGCAATTCTAGAATTTGGCAGGGATGTGTTTTGGGTAGAGGATACATTGCCATTATAAATTTATTCAATAGTAATGACTTAGTTTAGGGATTAAAAGCCAGGTATGACTCTATAATACTTTAAAAAATTGAACTGTGTTAATTAAATTTTSTTTTATTCAGTGTCCTCTGTCAGAYACAAGGCAAATTTAGACCTGGTCATTTGATAATCTTCTTAATTTGGAGAGGCTTRTTTTACTGTTTTCTTAAACCTGCACATCATGTTTAAAAAATACGTTATTTTTTCTTATGTAGCAGTAAGCTGAATTTGGAACTAATTAAAAAAGAATTAAACATTGTATTTATTTGTAGAAGGCCTTATGAACGAGAAGAATTGATATGTTTACTCAGTGAAGCAAAAAGACCAATTTGGAGTGTAGAGATACAGAGAGCATGTGARAATTAATTAAGAAATACAAGAACTAGCTTGAATTGATCATTTGATCATTGATACTGAATTGAAAGACATTTTTAATATCTTTCCAGAAGTCTACAAATGTGAAATCAAAATGCTGTCTTCTGTCAGGAGCCTGCAACTGTTTTACGAGAATGCTTTTAGTGTTTTTTATATTTTAAGTAGTACTATTATGTCATTAATAGCAACAAGGACCATTTTCTTCGCTGCTATAAATCTAAATGTTTGTTTTTATTTTTAGGAAAGATCCTCATGGGTTTTTTGCTTTTCCTGTCACGGATGCTATTGCTCCAGGATATTCCATGATAATAAAACACCCTATGGATTTTGGTACAATGAAGGAAAAAATTGCAGCAAATGAATACAAATCAGTCACTGAATTTAAGGTGAATTTAATAAAGATTTAGATATTCCACAACTACTAAGAAACTGAATATTCTTTTTAACTGTGGAAGCCTKTCTTATACTCTTCTTTTTTCAGAACTGAGCACTTTTGTATATTCAGTGTCTGTATAAATACTCTGTCACATTCTACTATAATCTACTATAAATTACTGTGGAAACCAAGAACATGTTCTGAAGTTCTGTGGAATTCACACTGCTAAACTTAAACAGGAGTAAGACTATCAAAGACTTAAACCACTGAGCTCTTTTTTTTTTCACCTGTTTTCTTTTTTAAATCTAGACGTGGTTAGATTGATTAAAATGTGGTTTTGACTTGTCTGCAAGAAAACTGTGGATATATTGAAGCATCTTGTGTAAAAGTCAGTAACAAMTACATCTTTTTTATCTTTAATTATCCCGTTTTTCATATAACTTCATTTGAAATGTTCTTCTGGCAGAAAACTTGGCAAGATTATTTGTGACTTAACTTAGTTATTTAATGCATTGTTATTGATGTAATAATTTATTAGATGCACCATGGTTTTACCAACAATACAGTAAGAAATATTTTCATGGTATTACCAGCTCCTGAAGGAGAGGAGTTTTCCTTTAATGATTCATGAAGATGTATAATSTGCCTTCAGAACTGCTTTTTCTTAGAGTGATGTCAGAGAGCATTGGCATGTTTCTCAGGGTTAATCTCTTCTTTTGAAAGGTCCAGCAAGGTGAGCAAAGAATGGTTTGCATTTCTTACAGATGCTTTGACAAAACTTAYTCTGTTCTGTTAGGTATGCTATGGAAATTTATAGGAAATAGTAAAAAAATATTTATAATAGTATTGCCACCAGTAATCCTTTCAGGTGTCTAAATTCTGCCTTGTTGGATTGTCTAATTCAACTTGAAAGGGCAGTTTGAGTGGGAGCTCTGTGACTTTAGTTACTGACAGTGATGCAGTATTGAAACTGGTGGGATAGAAGCCTAAAAAAAATTAAAATTGCAGTATTGGTTAGACTGACAAATTGGGGTTTTTTTCTGAAGTTCTTAGCTTCTGCTGGTGGTCTAAGGAGTAATAAAAGTTTGCTAAAAGTCTGCCCATGTTAGAGTGAAAAATTAGTGGGACTCCCTTTCTAGATACATGAGGATACCTAATTACACAGAACTACAAAGGCAATAGCTTAATATAGAAATGAAGTTTSTAGGTATTTAACCTCTGAAACAAGGTCTGCTCTAAAGCTTACCATTCATTTCTGATATAGTTCTTATAACTAGCTGAGACTAGTCACAAGATAATAAATAATCTAAGAGTGGAATCCGCAAGAACTGTTTCCTGCATTTAGAAGAGGGGCAGTTGCTTCAGAAAACTCACTTATTTTGCTGCAGAAAAAAGGATCTTTTTCAAAGTTGGACAAGCAAAAGACTGCCTTTTCTGCAGCACTTGAAAGGCCATCACTAGAGGTGTAGCTTACACGCACTTCTTTGTCTGCTTCTTGGTCTTTAGTTTGCTCCTCCATGTCACCCTCTCAATTATTGTCTTTGTGATGGTCTCATTAATTGAAAGCATAGGGCTTAAATTCTGTGAAAAATTACCTTGGTGGCTCAGTTCTTCTGGTGATTTCTCCATTTCTTCTGTTTGGTCCATTTTGTTAAGGAGAAGATGTTACATTTGGCATTCAGGAAAGAGCATGTTTTTTATAATCAAAAATCCAGTTCCAAAGAAAACTCAGTATTTTGGAGAAGTAAAAAAGGCTCAGGCCTTTGCAATTCTGCTTTTGGCTTGCATTCATGAGCCTGCTGCTAGATTATTAGCTTATTCTTCACAGAACACAAGATGGAATGGTATCTTCCAGACATTTAAAGGACTTGAAATGTTTAAAGTTCTTTTGTTTTGTATTTTACAGGCAGATTTTAAACTGATGTGTGATAATGCAATGACTTACAACAGACCAGATACTGTTTACTACAAGCTAGCCAAGAAGATACTGCACACAGGCTTTAAGATGATGAGCAAAGTAAGAGACCTATTAAAAACAAAAAGCAGACACATTGGGAGTTCTTATGTTATCATACTTAAAAGGAACATAGTAACAATGATAAATGTTATTTCATCCATGTGTGATTAATTATAGCAGTGCCAGTTAGTGCTGCTATATTTAATGGCTTGATGGCATTCTTGTTATRAATCAATACTTTTTACTTAATTCTCAACCTTACCTGCACCACTGAAGTCTGTAGGAGCTTCTTTCAATGGAAGCAGTTAAGATTCACATATATCAAACTACTATAAAATCTTAATTCTAGCTGAAACTTTGAAAAAAGTATCTCATTTAAGTTTTATTTCTGTATAAACAAGAAAACTCTGAATTTTTCAAGGTGTTGGGTATAAGGGAGTTTTCAGAGGTGTTGCAAGTACTTTTTACTCAAATGCAGTGGTTGGCTTGTCAAATGAACGGTTTTTTGTGAGCTGCGCTGCGTGTGTGCATGTGCTTGTGTGTGTGTCTGCATGCATTACAGTGATGGTAAGTTTTGTGTAAAATAGGCAGTTGTTTTTGCAAATGCAGTTTGTTTGTTTGTTTGTTTGTTTGTTTCTCTCTCGATAGTTGGGCTGCAGAAATTCTGATGCCATGCTACCATGACCAAATCATGTTGCATCGCCATTGGAAACAAGACATTAAGAACAAAATAAGGCCATGGCCATTCCCATCCCATCCCATTATCATAGCATCTTGGCTATGAGGGAAAGGTTAAGTCCCTGCCGCTCTGTCCTTTCTGATTCTAGGAACGGCTGTTAGCTTTGAAGCGCAGCATGTCGTTTATGCAGGACATGGATTTTTCTCAGCAGGCAGCTCTTTTGGGTGATGAAGACACAGCAGTTGAAGAACCTGTTCCTGAAGTTGTGCCTGTGCAAGCAGAGACTACCAAGAAATCCAAAAAGCAAAATAAAGAAGTTATTAGGTAAAGGTTTTAATGGGCATGCTTACTGGCTTGTTGCAGCTTTTGTGGTATTAGCAGCAAAGAACTGAGGAAAAAATCTCCTTTCAGCATTTTTCTTTGAGGTTCATAGGATAAATGGGAAATTTTATTGTATTTTATTTGTTTATTTATAAACTTGGTTAATAACCCAGTGAATCCGAACTTAAAGTGAACTATTCAAAAGATGACTTATTCCTTTATACACTTAATATCTATATAGATACTTCTATTCTTTTTTAATATCTATATTAAATAATGAGTGGTTTCTTCTTGTGGTAGCTCATGGTAGTTTAAAATGTTATTTTATATTGGATATGTCCACAAATACTTTTTGCATTTTTTCTTTTTTTTGTCTTTCCAGAAAAGTTACATCAGAATGTAACTGGTTCTTTCCAGGAGGGCAAAGTGACCCCAGATCAGTGAATGATTTTATTTAACTTTAACCTTATCTGGCAGGTTATGAAGGTACAGGAGATTAYTTCTGGAGCAAATTATAACATCTCCCCAATGAAATCTTACTAAGCTTCTTTGTAAAATACATTGCTAGTGAAATAGTAATCTTCAAACTAATAGGCACCCTCATGTCACAAATTAATATTTTTATAGCTAAAATCTATTTTAGTAAAGTTTTTTTTAAATCTAAATTTAGTCAATTTTTAATGAGTTTTTAGCAGAAGCCATGTGGACAAGCAACTTACATTGTTCAGTGTTCTTGCATAGACATCCTAAGATAGATTCTGAATTTACATTGTAGAGCATTACATCGGCTGGAATTTTATAGAAAAGATACTGCAACAGAACACCACTAGTCATGTCTTCAATATGTAGATCCTGTAGATATGTTCCACAGATTCCTTTTTAAACCTTCAAACAAAAAAAGTGAAATATACCTTGTCTTGTGTTTTTTTCAAAGTCAATTTTAGAGTTCTCATCAGCCACTTTTTAATTTTTTACACTTTCATCATTTTTATAATCCTTAATATCTGATGGAARAAGTAGTTCTCTAATGTAGTTGTTTTTCAGAAATAGAAGACTGCAAAATGTATCTTCAAAAATAATTTTAAACAGTAATTTTCTTTTGTGGAAGCCATTCTAAGGATAAATACAGAAATGAATAATGAGGGATTAAGAAAGTGTAATTTGTCCCTTGTTTCATGCATTGTGTATAGGAATCAATGGAAAGCACCTTATTGTAAACCAGACTTGAGGAGGAGGTGCTTTGGTTTTTGATTGTTCATGTTTTTTTAGAAGACACAATGATTTGGTTTGTGTGGTGCCAAGGATTAATTCTTGCATAAACTCTACTACAGGAATAACTTTGTACTTTGTCACAGAGCGAGAAATTGACAGTGCCAAATCTTACGTTGTTGCTCTGTCTTAATATCTACCCAAACAAACAGTTCAGATAGGTAAAAGTCATGACCTTTAGTTTTATCCTGGTACCAGTTTCTCTGCAATCAGTTGTGGCATAAATTTACTTTCCTGTTCTTTTCAATGTTTATGTAACTTTAGTAGTTGGCATTAATTTGGGGTTTTTTCCAATTAATTTGAACTTTTAAACACTTGTATTTTTGCATCTGTAGGATTGATASTGTATTTTTGATGAACAGTAAGACCCTTGGAAGGGGAAAATCAGACCTAATAGCAGATATTTTTGCCTTCATGTTTCATGGTTAAAAGCAGAGAAGGAGCTGAAGTCAGTGTTCGGAAAGTGTTAAAGCAGCTTAGACCTCAGTTTAGAAAGTGACTTGATCATTTGAGCATCCTAATGTTTAAATAGTTTTTGAAAATTTTATTTAGGATGTTGCAATTTTTTGAACATTCTCTCAAAATTCTTGTCCTTTAAATATTCTGTGGAGTGTGATAGAAAAGTGCCAGTTGTTGAGGAGTTTCCTGCTGTGTACACCCTTTCTTAAAGTTTCAATGAAACAAAATCGTATAACACATTTGTCTCATAATAGTATGATCCTGTGATCTTTTTATTGTCTTTACTAGCAAAACTTACTTGTGTATTGGATCTGAATCTATACAGAGAGAAATTCTTAGCTAAGCAAATGGAAGAAGATAACCCAAGAGAAAGAAATGGATTTGGTGTGAGGAGATGCTCTACCCAGTACCTAAGGTGTTTGGCCCTAGTGTCTAATGTCCGTATAATGCCCTGAAATGTTTTGTTGTACAACATTTATTKGATACATGAAATATAATGAAGACTTCCATATTCTATGATATCTTCACATTTCTCTTTATAATACTACTTTTTTTTCTGATTTTATGTAATAGCTATGTCCTGTTGCATCCTTTGGTATGCTTTTTTGTAAGAGTTTGTTGTTTTGGTGCTTTGATGAAAATGGATCTACTGAACGATAAAATGCTAATTTCTGTAATTTCAATTACAAGCAGGGGTGTGATTGATACAGATTAGAAATTCTAGTTGCCAATACTAACAAACATAGGAATTAAAGGACTCCATGCTAGACTGGGGGTTTTGTTGTACTTCTGCAAGCAGCTAAGTGACATAATCATCATAAATGCAACCTGTTGTTTTTTTTTTTCTCTGATTAGCTACTGTTTCTATCCCTCACGTAATTTCTTTTCTGCATCTTCRTATTGGAATTCTTGAAAATAACATATTCATGCATGTGGGAGACTAAGGATGCATACAGCATTCACCCTGTATTAATGCAGTTTTACTCCCAATCTTTGTTTTATGCTTAATTTTTTGTCAAGGTACGGAAGCAATTAAATTTTTGAAGTTAAGTAGTTTGCAGCTTCTGCTGTGTAACTTCATATGTTTATAATTCCACTTAAATGCTGAAGTAGATTGACCCTGGGAGAAGAATGGGATCGATTGTTCTATTAAGCAAAGCCTGATTTCAGCCCTTTGTTTTGTTTTAATTTTTTTCAGCCCTTTGTTTTAATTTAATTTTTTTAATTTCTACACCTCCTCCTCTTCTCTTTTTTAGCTGCATTTTTGAACCTGAGGGAAATGCGTGCAGCCTGACAGACAGCACTGCTGAAGAACATGTCCTGGCACTAGTGGAACATGCAGCAGATGAAGCTCGGGATAGGATCAATCGATATCTACCCAACAGCAAGGTCTACTGCACGTGGCAGTTTGCAATTCCAGTTTGTGCCTGACTATTGAGTTGTTTCACATTAGGAAATAGGCTTTACTGTTAGGCTTTCTGAGACTGGAACATCTGGGATGTATGTTCTGTGTGGAATACCAATATGGCTGTTGTTTATCAGTTAGTTCCCCTGAAAGCCATTGTAGAGGATCCTAAGTGGATCTCAAGTTCTATTGTGTGTTGAACATCTTTGGAAGCTCACTTGCAGGAAACAATGAAATGTTGCTCTGTCTTGAATTGCAGCCCCTAGCATTAAAAGTGATTATCATAACATCCCACTTCTTATTGTTGAAACCTCAGAAAAAGCAAACTATGGCATAGGTTGAAGGGCTATTAGAATTCCCCATCTCCCACCCCACCCAAAGAATTAATGAATATTTAAGTGTTAAATTACTATTTTTAATGAGAAAAGTCTGTAACCTCTTGTAGTTTTGTTCTTGCAAGTAGTAGCTGTCAGCTGTAGCATGAGTACAAATACAAAGATCTTTTATTGACTAGGTTTAGATAGCAGRTTTGACAGTCTTCCGTTGGTTTAGATATTGTTCCATGTGTTTGGGTTTTTGCTCTTCCAAGAGGAAGAAAGACAAAACCTGAAGGATTTTAGAAGTTCTAGCTCAGTGATGCTGTTGGTGTTGCTGTTTTCTCTGAAAGCTCTGTTAATGGGTTTTTTTAGCTCTGTGCTGGATTCCTCTTGTTTCTTCACGCTAGGATTGGAGTGAATGCTCCAGGCATTCACTACAGATCTATGCTGAGATACATTTATTCTCCCTTGAATTGTGTYGAGACTTATTCCCACCTTTGCTCCCATTTCTCATCTGTCACTCTAGTGGCCACCGCAGTCGAGAAAAGAACCAGGATATTGCCACATCCTTCATTTGCTGCCTATTATTTTAAAAACTATTGCAGAAGAAATTTCACTTTGAACCATTTGTGGTGTTCTGTCTTCAAACTTAAAAGTCTATTTCTTGGGCACTGATTGGCTTATTRGTCCTTATTATGGAGTCATCTTAGGCTCAACTTGATTAAGAAGTAAAGCTGCAAAGAATTGAGGGTGAAGGCTTAGATTCAGTGTATTTCTGTTTCTTTGGATAATTAGAAGACTTGCTAGGMCTGAAGGCTATTTGAAATCTCCAAAGTGAGAGTGGTTTTTTAMATCTCTTCAAAGCAGTAGCAGTCTTTTATGCTGATGCAGTGAGTTTTGCAGTATTCAAGGAAATTTCTCAAAGTGTGCAGCTTTTAATTGCCTAGGCTGTTAGACAGCCCCACTGCATGTCCTACTGAATCTGGGTAACACTGGCACATTCTTAGAATTCAGCCAGTGCTTACTTTTGCCATTTCTTGAAGGTATTGTTCTGGTTCATTCTCTTTCCAGCATCTCTCACCTCTATTTTTATTGTATGCCAATATYAGCTTTGGCCCCCTGTATGGAGAGGGTTCTAAACTTTTTCAGATGGAATGGGATAAAAAACAAAATAGGGTAGATTTATGGTTTATTTCCTTAGAAGTATTTGCTACTACTTTTGTAGGGAGAGAACCATTTTCATTTTCCCTTTATATTGAGAGGTTACAGTCTTTTTTTCTCAGTTCATGTGTAGTCAGTTTCTGATACCAGCTTTGCTTGTTGCATCAGATCTGGCTCTGTCTTTCCAGACCCTGGTGTGCTCTATTGTCTTTCATRTCTGCCTTTTTAGCATTGTGCTTCTGTGCTTCAACCGGTCAATCACAGCACTTCTTCCTCTTGAAGAATTTGCTAGYATGTTCATAAAAGTACTTCTAATTAGAGAAAGTTGTGGGTGWGACATGAAAACAAGCAGTTCAATCTAGATTTGAAAATAAAGTGACTCTGTTTGTGGATAGGAGTTACAGTTCTGCTTCTAAAACAAATGTGTATTGTCTACCCACTGCAGTCAGAAAGGCTGGCTCCATGCTAATGATAATGGAATTGGGTTTGTCTTGGGTGAAAACTTTAGATCTGATTTAGAAAGATGAGTAAGGTGTTGTACATATGATACATGAAATTCTGCTCCTAAGTCTTCTGTTCTGAAACACTTCCTAAGTGGTGTTAAATAATTGTAACCCAAGATTCTCTGTATGTAAAAGGGAATACCAAAGTGCCGGATCTCAATACAGCTAAAAATGTTTTTATAGTTTTCTCTGTAAATGGAAAACTCCTTCTTTGGTTATGAACTGTTTGAATGATTGCTCCTATATCTTTATGTTCTATTCACAGATTGGTTATCTGAAAAAAAATGGAGATGGAACCTTATTATTTAGTGTAGTAAATTCATCTGATCCAGAAGCAGAAGGTAAAAGCCATACTCTTTCAAGCAAAGATTTCTAGTCTTGAATGTTCTAACAGATTTTGAAGTCTTAACTGTAGATATACATCCTGTGTAGTATAGATGAGTTTTAAAATTGCTTCTTGATTTTTTTCTCTTGTTTTTTTTTTGTTTTATTACTGTTACATCATATTTATATTGTTTTATGCTTTTTCTTTGTTTTAATTTCAAGCCCAGAATACAGAAGTTCTGAAAATTTGTAACAAATTAAATGCTGTAGTGTTTTGGTGCTGGATCCTGTTGATTTAGCACTTTGTTCTCTGCACCTTTTGAGATTAGAATTTGTTCACAGCTTTGCTTTGTTTCACCGATGAATGCTTTTGACTATCATGTTGGGTGACACAAGCCTGTAACTATTATAGTCTAAATTCTTTTTCATTTGGTTGTAAATTTCTCTGGGATGAAATTGAGTGTTTTGGCTTCTATCATGCCTATTACATATTTCTTAAAAAAAATAAAAAAAAAAAAAAAAACAAAACAAATTTAAAAAGATAAATTAATTCAGACTGTTCCAAAAAAAAAGAAAAAAAAAAAAAAAAAAAAAAAAAAAAGATTTAATACCTCTAAAGTTATGCTGCTGAAAATTTGAAGAGTGGTGGTAATGAATTTCTATTAGCAAACAACCACTTAGTCAACATCAGAAACTTCTTTTATCACTTCATTGATACCTGTATCTCAATTTGTGAATCAGCTACTAAAATAATTACAGATGCTGCTGTATACTTTAGAAGTGAAMTAACTTAAGTAAGCCACAGATCTTGTGAACAAGACATGGAAGCATATTTTAGCTTGTGTTTGATATTTAAATGGGGAGCCTGAATTACAGTGCCTGCCCTTAATGTATAGATTAAAAGCCCCTAATGTATAGATTAATCTTTATGTTACTTACAACTCTAAAATAGCAAAATTAAAGTATTCACCWTAAATTGTAAATATGAAATGCTTTTCTAAGCCTTCTTTTAAATCAAATTATTAGAGGAAGAAACTCACCCAGTGGATCTAAGTTCACTGTCAAGCAAATTATTACCTGGCTTCACTACACTGGGCTTCAAGGATGAACGAAGAAATAAAGGTAAATACCAAAGACTGTGTTTTGACTTTGCGTTTCTTAAATGTTTGAGCAATTACTTGATATAAAATAATTTCAGTTATTTTCTCAATATGTAAATTCAGTTGGTTATTTTTATAATATGTAATAATTCCATTAACAGAAGAGTGCAGTTTTTATTTAAATAAAATTAATTTTCTTATTAAACAGAACTTAATTAGCAGTTTATGGATTAATATTTTACCTTAATATTATAACTACACTCCAGTAATGGTAGTTCATTTCCCCTGGAAGAAACCATTTTTCCGGAGTAACTGTGCTTAAGAGTCAAGGAAAAAAAACCTTTGAGTCATTTGCATTTTTTCATCATGTGACAGGGATTTTGCAGACTGTGGTGTTTTTTCCTGGTATTATTGACAGTTTTTAATAGTTTGTAATCTGCTCTCCAGAAACTGACTGGCAATGAGCAGTAAAGTAGATGCACACAAAATGCAGAAATGTTAAAGGGGGTGTGGCCATAAATCTTCTTCTGGGACTGGGGTGGATAACTTAGTTCTTGATTTTTCAAATAGTAGTATGTTTGTTTATATGGTTAAAATAGTTAGGCTGATTCTAGAGTCTGGAAGTGTCCTTGAGATACTGCTCTTGCTTTCAGTTGGAGAAAAAAAAAATACATGGCACCTTCTGTATCTGTTTCAGTCTGTTCCCCCCGCCCCCATCCCCAAGTGATCTTTTACACTTGTGCTAATTTGTTGTGTCTTCCTTCTGCCTGTGTAGTAACCTTTCTTACAAGTGCCAATACAGCACCTTCCTTGCAAAACAACTCTATATTTCATGATTTGAAACCAGATGAGATGGAGCTCCTGTACTCAGCATATGGTGATGAAACTGGGATCCAGTGTGCCTTGAGGTAAATGCTTCCTTATAGGAAGTCTGACTTCTCATAGCAATTTTGTGCAAAGCAATTTAAACTAAATGTCARCTAAGAGCTGCCAAATCCTGATCTTTTTTCCTTAAATTTATTTTAAAAATAAAACACTATAAAGTTTGAAATATTTCTTGATTTTTTTTTCTTTTTTATTTGTTTGTTTGCTTTTGGGTTTTTGGGGGTGGGGAATGTTTTGGTGTTTTTTCCATTTGTCTGTTTAAGCTATCCTACTTTATTGCAAGGTTTTTGTGGATCTTGTTGTTAGGGTCTTCAACCATAGTTTGTGATAGGTTGCTACAGATTTAGTGTTTTTCTTTAAACTCAGCACTAAATAAGTTAAAAAGGCAAGTAATATATTTCAGTGGCTTTCAAAATATATGTGTTTCAAGGAGTTTTGAAAGAGTTAAAACTACTTGGAAAGAAAAATACTGCTTATCATTAAATTGTTGGTCTTGGAAGGAAGGAAATAATTACAAGCTTTTTATCTCTTGTGTTTTGTTTTTTGACCCACTAARTCACCATAAGTGATAGTTCAAGTCAAAATTTGCTGGTACTTCTGAAAAACAAGGTGCAGCTCTACTCTGCTATTAAAAAAAAGAAGGAACTTTGTGTCCTGAAGGCCTTAATTGCTTTTCTGAAGAAGCAAAAAAAAAATTAAAGAATGAGGAAAATATAGGTGTAATGCAGTTTATTTGGGGTAAACCATATTTTAAGTTGAAGTATTTATGAAAATAAAAATTTTCTGTAATGCTTATCTACACTTCTGCTAGCTTACAAGAATTCGTGAAGGATGCTGGAAGTTACAGCAAGAAAATAGTTGATGATCTTCTGGACCAGATCACTAGTGGTGACCATTCCAAAACTATTTATCAGCTAAAGCAGGTATGTCCTGGGTGCATTGAAATGTCACAAATTTGTCAGAATAAGAATGATTCTATTGGCTTTTTAATACTGTGTGAGATGCTTTGTTTTCCACTCTCAGTTTAAGCAGTGCAAGTTTAGCAGCACAAGCAACCATGAACCAAATTGGAGATTGAATTAATCAACAGAGGAGAAAGCTCTTTTCTCCAGCAAGATCAGTTCTCCAGTGTGGATCCCTGTGTGACTGCAGAAAGGAACAGGCAGGGGATGCAACTTAGCAGGGATCAACCAGCTGGATAGTGTTGGTGCAGCCTTGTCGCTCCATGTCATGGCTTACGTACCTACTTCTGAGTKATATTGCAGTGCTTTTGCTAAGGTTTTGGGTTTTTCCTAATTGAAAAGCAAAATATATTTCTTGTGGAAGGATTAATTTTTTGGAATGTGGAAGTAAAATTAAAGAACAGATTAATTATCACTGTACAGGTGTCTGTTAGCCCCCAGTACTAACTTCTACCTTCATGTAGCRTGTCTACAAGAAAAGCCTTTAACTTACTTAAAAAAGCACTTTCCTGAAGAGATTCATACTAAGATTGGAGAAGAGAGTTTTCTCAGAAATATGTATGATTCTAGTGAGGATGTTTGCATTCCCAAGATAAAATAAGCTTCAAGAAATTGCAAAATCTGGTTTCATGTTATCTTCACTTTGAAACCACTCTTAGTTTGAAATAATTGTCTGCTCTTTAAAATGCCAGCATTCTGAAAGATTGAAGAATAAAGAAAGGGAGGCAGGTTGAGAAAATGGAAGGTACTTAGACTTTCTGACACAGTGGAAATGAGGTTATGCTAAATCTTTGCAGACTTAGATGTGGAATAGGKTTGGGTGGTGTTTGGACAAAAGGAGACAATTGAAAAATACTGACAATCCTTTAGAATTTTCTTGCTGTTTTTTTCCTATGGGAGAAAGATTGTGCATATAGCAGGAAGAAATGTAAAGGATTAGTTCAGAAAGTTAAAACCCAATATTTTGAATACTCTTTTACGTATAGAAATGTGTATATGCAACTTAGCTTTAAAATAAAATGTTCCTTTGCCTTTTGCCATGTTTTTTTATGAATATTGTTCCAGGTGAGAATTTCTGAAGACCTRTCAAATGGTCAATGGCTATTCACACTCGAAAATGCTGTTAAGTTGTGACATATGTGGATACCCACTGATTTTACACAATTAAGTCTGTTTCAGTGATCACATGCCATGGTGTTTTATGCTTGGGCATTTTGTGCTGCTGTATTTGGGTAAGAATTAGTATCTCTGAAAGTACAACTTTCAGAAGTGATCAGAAGTTACTTGATAACTTCATTGTGGTAAAAACCAATAACTTACACAAACATTCTCAGGGAACATTCTCAGTAAATATATGCTATGAAATGCAAAGATTTGGTGATCAGAAGTTACTGAAGTAATGACTAAGATACTGCATTTGAATATAAAGTTTGTGAGCAGAAGAAATAATGTAAGGGGACTCAGAGATTAGTTAAAATGCATAATACTAAAACATTTAAGAACCAACTATTACATTGTCATTGCATTACAGATATGTGGAAAAGCTGTCTCTAGCCTCATTTTGTGTGTGAAGTTTGAATATACTTGAAATGGTACAAGAAGAACTCTTTCTCGTATGTTGAATATAAACAATTGTTGGTATTCTTTCTTTCCAGAGGCGAAACATCCCAGTAAAACCACTGGATGAAGTTAAAGTAAGTTATGCTGATACTCAGTTTGTTTGGGGTTGTTAACTGGAAAGTATTTTGGTATTTAAAGTAGAGAAAGGGATGTTCTGTGAGCTTCCTACACTCAAATTCTTTATTTTATTTAATGTGTATGGTAATACAGAGAAGATTGATGAGTGGAGTATGTGACARAGAAGAGGATTACGTTATTCCTAGAGAGGCTGCCCTGGTTATTTACAAATTGTTGGTATGGCTATATGTGGTTGCCCTAGAGAAGAGCTGGTCTTTATTTTTTTGTGAAGATTCTACTCAAACACCACAAAATTTGACAGTCTTCTGTGCAGGAGCTCGTTGTGGTAAAAACCAGTAACTTACACAAACATTCTCAGGGAACATTCTCAGTAAATATATGCTATGAAGTGCTAAGATCTAAAGTATTTCTTTGTTCTTTAGGTTCTGCCAGTTCTTATAAAAGAAGAACACAAGTTGCGTAATAACTGTCTGGATTCTTCCAAACAGATTATGGTAAAATGGTTGGGGGGTTAGGGAAGGGAAACAACAGGAAAAAGAAACATAAAACAAACAAAAAGTAGTATTGAGACATTTCTTTGTTTACATGTGTGGTCTGAGGTAGCATGTTAAAATTTCAGTATCTGGAAAAAGTTTCAGTACCGAAAATTAATTCTCTGACATTCAGTCTGTTTTAGTTTGTGGCTTTATTGTTTTGTATCCTCCAGTTTATTTCAGCATAAGTAACTAAATCTCACTGGCAGAAAGATCACATATGAATCCAAAAAATATATTTGATCTGCTGACTGATATTTGAGGTTCAGCCTGCTGCAAAATTGGAAAAAAAAACCATTAATCACTTTTACCTCATGTGTTGAAAATGTCTATAGACAGTATGGGTAGATAATGCATATCTCATGCTTTTGCTGCATTAATTTAATCCTTCTTTAAGTGGTACAGGTTTTATCTTCCAAATTATTTGTTACAACAGAAGATATGCATTGTATTCCATGACAATTCAAGTGAAAAATTATGTGGATCATATTATAGCAACTAAAAATATATATAGTTCTATAAATATTCATTACATTTTGTGGAAAGGTGTGGATTTCTCTGGAAGGTGACTGGTTATTTCTTGAAAGTGCTGCATTTCATGTTCATATTTCTGAAAGATAAAACCTGATTGCATGTTTGCCTGGGTGTCTCATTTCTCCTGCTGGAAGAGCTGAAATTTCTCTCTGCATCCTCAGAGATTTCCCTTAGAATTGATTTTGAAACTTACTGATTCTGGTTTCTTAATTTGTGCCATTACCTTGGCARTATTACAATAGGTGTGGAAAGAAAGGGAATTGTGCTGTGCAGGTTGTATTTCATTATCCAAATGTATAGAAAAAATACTAGACAGGCCAGTTCCAGCTGGTACGATAAAAATGTCARTAAATCCAGTGTTGACACATGGAGAAGAAGGACACTGGTAATACTTCCAGCTGCCAGGATTCTACCGTGAGACATGGATGAGTTGAGTGTGTAATTGAGTTTCACCAGTCCTGGATGATGAAGTAAAAGACTTGGAGTGCTGTGCACATCCCTGGCCATTCATGTGACTGGTCTGTCCAGGAACCTCTTTGAGTTGTCTGTGAATTTCAGGTTAGCCAAGATGGTTATAGGTGCTCCAGTCTCAGATGTTGAGAATTCTGAGATAATGGATTTGTGCCTTAAACATTGAAAAGTTGTTATGACAGCTTGTCACTCTTGCTAGTCTTTCTGTTTCTTGTATTTTAATAGGTTGGAGAATCTGCTGGAGACAGTAACACTTCTGACTTGGACTTTCTCTCTATGAAGCCGTACTCAGATGTATCTCTTGATATTTCTATGTTGAGTTCATTAGGTAACTAACTAAATATACAAGACRTCAATTATGGTTTAGCTGTACCATTTAGACAAAATGACAGCTGGATTTGCTAAGACTAAAGGAAGTGTTTGAAAAGTAGTATTAGGTCTACATTTGACACAGGTTAAAGTATAGGGCTGATAAATGAAACCTTGCTCTTTTTTTCATTTGAGACATCTGTGGGCTATGCAAGCTAAGTTTTTCTGTGTAACCGAAGAAACCAAAGTATTCGTACTTCACTATTTTGGTAGCTTTGCTTGTTATTTTATATGTTCTAAGTAACATAAGTTTTAAGAATCAGTGTGAAGCTTTTACTCAGAAATGATGTTGTTTCATATGATGTCTTTTAAAATAACTTGGGAATTAGCTAAATATGTGAAACTAGATCWTATTGCCACTTGGAATWTGCTAGAATAAAAGTCAGAAGACAYTTCTRTTGAATAGACTTTATGTTCAGTTGTGTAGAAGAATTTAGATGCTGTTTCAAATACATGCCTGTGATAGTTACCCTTCAAATGACACAAGAAGTACTGTTGCCATTTCTGCAGGCAGCTGAGCTGGTCAAATGTCTTAAAAAATGTCATCCAAGTAAACAACCTGCTTCTCTTTTAAGATGCTTCTAATTCAGAATGTGAAAGATGCCAAAGTGCCTGTTATAAAACAGCCAAACTAATTGACGACTTAAAGGGGGAAAAGATGCCTACATGTATCTCASCTAGGTGCAGTTTAAAAAGCAATTATAAGATCTGATTGTGCTGTCACACCCTTAGGTTTATTTTAGTTCAGTAAAAAATGAGTAAATATCCATTTTATAGAAAATTCATCACTAAAAGCTGCTGCTATTTTCTTCTTTGACCTTTCRGTAAATAGTCATACTTCTAGGTTGGTTGGCTTCCAGCATTACTTCTTATTATAATCCTTGCAAAATTAATATTTAAAAAAGAGAAGGGAAGGARTTTATCTTCCTGTTTAAAGTTGAAGGAAATTTTTTTAGGTCTTCATGTAAAAGAATAGCATATATTGGCACATACTTGTAGTTCTTTCCAATGTCACGATTTTATTTGGCTTACTACAAAATCAGTGTAGCTGGAGAAGAACCTTCTGTGATGGGGTTTTCTTTGTCTCCATAGATTTCATGTTCTATTTTAACTGTATTTTAAGTTAACTATATAAGTGATCTTGCTGACCCTCTTTTAGCCGCAAACTAAATGTGTTATTTACTGTAAGGGTGGTGAGACACTGGAACAGAGAAGTTTTGGGTTCCCCATCTCTAGATGTGTTCAAGGCCAGGTTGGATGGGGCTTTGAGCAACCTGTCTAGTGGAAAGTGTCCCTGCCCATGGCAAGGAATTGGWTCCAAGATGGCCTTTAAGGTCCCTTCGAACCCAGTCTATCCATTTTTGGAGTTTAACATGTAAAGAGGATAAATTAAGCTCTTAGAGCTGTTTAAATACTCAGAGTCAGTCAGTTCAGTTTCATTTCCCTATKGGACTTTCTGTCACCTTCCTGTAATGCACGGATGTGCAGCTGTTGCATTTTAGAAGTGTGAAGGAAAATGCAAGATTGAGGTAATTTGTGTAATAGACAGTGCTTTTGTTAATTAAGTTTAGAATTTTTTTATAGTGACTTGGTAATTCATGGGTCAATGTACCTGTGCTAATTATGGGTTTTGGTTGGTGGCTCTTAGGGAAAGTGAAGAAGGAGCTTGATCATGATGATAACCATCTGCATCTGGATGAAACAACTAAGTTGCTTCAGGACCTTCATGAAGCTCAGGCTGACAGAGTGGGATCCCGCCCATCATCCAATTTGAGTTCCCTCTCCAATACCTCTGAAAGAGATCAACATCACCTTGGTAATGTTAGCTGTGTCGCAGAAGCTGCAGTACTTGTACTCTAATTGAAATTGGTTTAAACTTACATTGTGATGTACATAAATCTTAGTGGGAAACTACTCTGATAAAACAGTGTGCTGACTGATCATGTTTTAGTTTTCAAGTATGTGTGGCAAAGAAAACTAACAAGACATAGTTTTGTCCTCCAGAATTAAGGACACTAATTGTTGTTTCCTATTTTTTGATTAGGTATGATTTAATTAATTGTGAAGTAAATTGATACTCACTGGCAGATCACTATAAACACTTGCATTTAATGTCCTTAGTAATACTGAGGACTGTATAATGTTTATTTTACTTTAGCGTAGTTGTGTGCAGCAAGTAACAAGTGGGGTTCTACAACTGCATATGACATATTGCATAATAATTTGGTGCCATTTATGCGAGGATACATTGGATGGATGATATTCAGTTGCACATTGTATAATTTTTTCAACTCAGAGTAATAGCATAATGACTACTTTTCCCAAAATTACCTAAGTTCCTAAGAATCTTGTGATTTCTGTTTAAATATCATTTAAATGTTTGTCTTGCTTTAAAAGTCTAAAAGGAACATGTAAAATAACCATGCTGTTTATATATGTATAAATATCACTCCTTTTTTTTCTGTACTTTTAAAGGTTTTGACTTTTTTCTCATGTTCTGCAGGAAGCCCTTCACATCTGAGTGTTGGAGAACAGCAAGACATGGTTCATGATCCCTATGAATTTCTGCAGTCTCCAGAAATATCAAATGCTACAAGTAACTAATCGGACATGAACTGTATTTATTTTGTATTTTAATTGTATTATTTTTTATAAAGTTTTTGTCCATGACAGAAACTGCATTTTTATCCTCTTTTCTATGAGGATTACTGTATAATATTATCATGTATACAGGATTAAACAAGCAAATGTTAAAAAAACCCCAATCCCAAACCAATTACTGCATCATGTTGTTGGCAATTTACCAAAAACTTCTTTCCATTTTGTTTGTTAAGGGAGGTTGTTATCCCCAGGTATGTGAATCTTGAATGAAAAACAGCAAGTAATGTGTTAGAAAAATTTGTATTTTATAGAAACTGAAAAGTAATAATTTTCCCAGAATCATGGCAGCAGTCATTAAATGTTTCCAGTACAATTGTCTACTAGTTCTGTTCAGGTTTTTACCTGCTGTCTCCAACGAGGAGCAAAGAGCTGTATGAACTGGGATCATTATTATGTTTTCTATCTCCTAATGCTAATAATGTGTAGAAATTGTTTCTTAACATTTCCCCATATTTTGAAATATTTTTTTAGATCACAATAGAGATTAAGTAGAGAGCACTTAATTTGAGAGTAAGTGTACTTGGTAGCTGCAGTAAAATGCTCATTTACAAGACTTCTGCCTTGGATTTGAAAAAGATGAATGTTTTTGTGTTCCCTTGTATCTTGAAACACAAAAGAAAAGACTCATATTTTTTAATATGATGTGTATATCTCATGGAAAAAATACTGGATAAAGTATGCTGTTCAATAATTTCAAAATTAAACTTTTGTAATACATCAGTGCTGAAACTGAGGGGTTTTGTATATGACTATGTGCAAGCAAACAAATGCTATGAACCTTCATTATTTTGTAAATATTAATAAAAATAGAAAAGCAGTTTTGATGTATAACAAATATGTTGTTCTTGACAAGTGAAGATTTCCTGCCTTTACTAAGTCTGAAATACGAAAATGTTTGGGGTTGAATTAATGTGCTGCTTCAAAAGATTAATTTCATCATGCCATTTTCATTAATTTCATKTACCTATAAACAAAAAAACCYGTCAGTTTTTAGGATCCATCAAGCAAGTCAGTCAGATAACTGATAGCAAAGTCTTGATTTAATAGGAAGATTGTTTTGTTCCAAGCAGGAGTGCTAAAGAAAGCAAGGGCGAGGGTTTTTTTTTTTCTGGGAGTTGTTAGGAATTTGTGTGGCAACATGCTTGGGCTGCGTTCTGACTCATCATGACTGTGGGTTCTTGGAAGTGACATGGATGATCTGCTGCACTGTGACAGTGCTGTTGGAAAGGGTTTGCATGGACACACAGCCTTGTGTCGGTCTGCAACTTCCATAACAATTTTAATCGAAAAGTGTCTTTAAAACTAATGTGGTTTCAATATCTATTATAGTAGGTCTGATTTTTCATACAGAAAATATAAATTGATTCCTGTAATGGACTCTAYAGTTGCAATTGGTGAGGAAATCTTTATTGAAACACTTGATGTTAAATTGCCTGCCTTASTGCTTGAATAAAATTCCACAGTAGAATGTTTAAAATACTCCTTTAGAGGAAGGTGCTGGTTGGTTTTGCTTTTTGTTTAAACCTCAATGTTTGCTACTGAAAAACTGAAATAACATGCAGWATCTTATTAGATGCCTTCACCTTGGATTTCAGACAGAATGCATTCAAATTCTGTGAAATTCTGTAAATCAGCTTTTATGGGCTCCGTGAGTTGGTTGTATRAAAGGATGGATATTGTTTGCATCATTACTGTATCAGAGAGCACTTTGTGCCTAAGGAAGGTTTGCATGTTTATTCAGCCTATCTGGCCCTTGAGCAATGTTAGTTATGCACAGCAATCTCCAGYTGCGGTTCCATGAGTGCTGGACAATCCTTTCAATAGGCCTACTGCCTGCATTCCCCAGGTAAAAAATGCTTTTAGGGCAAAACTTCTTCCCAGAAGCAAATACTAGTGGTTTGCTGTGGTGCCTTCTCATAAATGGCRGACATTGACTTGTGCCCTGTTTGCTAATGTACATACACATGATTGGGCTCATTAAATGCCTCAAGAAAACCTTTCATGTTTGAGAAATTTCATTCTTCTATATTTTATAGAAAAATGGAAATCTTGAGTTGGCAACCTCTGGTAAAAAAACTCTAAAATTTTAAAGAAAGTGATTGAAGTAACTTCTTTCAGTCACTTTTGTCACAGTGCAGCTGTGATTCTCAAGCTGAGAGAATCTTTTGCTCCTCTTCCTTGTTGGTGTAYGTGCTTGTGCTTGTACCAGTGGTACACTCTTGTGTTTTCCAAATGATTCTGGTTTATCTGAAAAAAGCCTTAGGAAGCAAGGGTAAAAATTTCCTTAAGCTATGTCTTATTTGCTCTTGTCTCTGCAGATGGGTAAGTTCATATATGAAGGAAAGCTTTGAACTAACCAGTCAAGGCMTGTAATCTTACAGTCCTATTTAAATATTAAGATTTTGAAAACCTTCGTTTAGTTCTGTGGATTTATTTAACATATATCATTATTTGTTGAATCAGAGATAAACACCATTCCTTTCTTGTGTCTCTGGTAGATACTTCATGTTTGGTTCATTTGGAAGAGGGCTGTGTGTCTGTGGGACTCCATTTAAATCTGTAGTACATGATGTGTAACATCTAGCTAGGTGGCACCATATGTCAACAACTTTAGGTGAGTTCCCATCAGTTGGAATATTTTTGATGCTGCCATTGAAGTAGAGGGGAATTTCCCAGGGGGTTATGTAAAATCAGCCCAGRGTTTCTAAAAACAATTGAGAAAATGAAATACATTTGCTCTATTTTTTGCTCTAATGACTGCTGTATCAAAAAGTCAGACTAAGAATGTAAGCAATGGTAAGAGAAATCTTAGTTCTGTTCTTCCACAGGGTAGAAATAGATCAATGAAAATGTAAAATGGTCTAAATAACTGATTATTCTTTTCTCTTTTGTGTGTCTATCATCAATCTCATGTTTTAGTTCTGTCATCTTCAGTGACAGCAAAGGGAATGTTGAGACTGTATTGCACACATTGCAAACGTCTTTGTGAACAGCATGAGGCAACTTTATTCCACTGTCAGAGATACACGAGTACAGGGACAGAATTTACCTAAAAATATTGGAAAAAAAAATTTAAAAATCTTTCTAATATTTCTCGCTTGCTCTTTATTAAAAAAATAGAAAAGGCACAAAGACATTTTTAAAGTCATGTAGTTCTTTTGCTTTCTGGCAGATGAATTGCTGTGATGAGAGATTTATGCAGATGAGACTTGAACAGCTGACCAGCAGAAATAACCTGATTTCTCCACCCCTGCATTCCAGAGCGAAGGGCTGAACCTTAGCACGCCACTTATTTTTGTGTTTGTTGCTTTACTCTTGTTTATCTACCTGGCTACAGTAGGATTTGGAGTCTGCACACCATTACTTCCATATGGATGGATGTGGATGGAAACGCACTGCTCTTTCTGGTTTGGTTTGTTCCACCCTTCTGCCATCCTTCTTGGAATGTATTTTATTATATATGCTGATCTGTGTGCTGATAAGGGGAGGGGAGGAAAAGCCCATCCACCTCATAAGGAGGGTGAGGACATCTCCGAGGGATGGCATTTATTCCTAGTGAGTTTAAACACTCACTTGACCGTTGCAGAACTCAGTTCATGTCGATCAGTTGGGTTTGTTTTACAGGAAGGCATATGAGTATGTAACTCTGTAAATAATATGCTGAATTATGTATTTAAAGATCCTTTAACTAGGTGGTGATTGGAAGTAAAGGGGCAGGGAGTGGGAGATCGAGAAGAGCCACAGTTGTTTGGAAGCCAGGGGGCAATGCTTTGCAGTTGAATGATTTTTCCCAGACTGATCAGAAATTACTATAAATCTCAGAAAGTAAGATTGGATGTTATTTTTGCAAGGGGTTCTTACAGAATGCCTAACTCCCCATTTGTTTATGGASCACTCAGTCCAACATTGCAGGATTAAAACTTGGTGAATCTGCAGTGGAATTATGAACTAAAACTAACTTTATTTTTAGAGGGGTCAATTTGGATAGCATGAAACACCTTGTTTTGCATTAGGTTTGCTCCTTTGGCACATGACAGAGCACAGTCTGAAGTTCTGCATAATGTCCAAATAAGACTCTTCATTTTACATGGGAGAGGGAGAAAGGTTTAACAGTGTAATGAGAAAGAAAACACTGATAGGCAGTATTTCATTCACTTTTTATGTACAAAACATAGATTGTTGCTAGGAAATGGTAGKGTGTCAATGGAGCACTCTTATGACAGCACTGTAGCTCGTTTTGAAACAGAGGTTGAGCAGTCAACCCAGTGCAGGTCTAATGCCTAAGGTTTTCTGCAATGTGTTTAAGAAGAGTGTTAATTGTGTCCATGCTTTTGCTTCTTTTGAACATACACTGGAAAAAATGGGTTGCTGATGAATGTCATGCCTTTATGCATGAGTAACACCCTTGCTGAAGCTCTGATGTTCCTGCAAATCTGCTTTTTCTATCGTTTGCATCCTTTCTATTATTGTTAAGTGTGTTGTGTTCCATAACCATTTACAATGCTGGAAAGATCCAGGAAAGGAAGACACAGACCTGTAAATCCAGTACCATGCTGCATTTCTTGCTCAGGAATTCTTGGAAGAGACGACAGGTGAGGTTGTCCCATTCATTCAGAGGACTTCCYATTTATCCCTTTGTCTGGAGGAGCACATAGGTCTAAGCTAGGAAGAGTTGAAGAATCCTGCTAGCTGTTGTGAAGCCTCATTTTGATGCTATTTTCAAAATATAATTGGTGCATACCAGCTGTAGAATGTAGTAAGAAGTTGTGATTCTAACACTGACGAATCTATAGAAGAAAAGGCAGCACAAAGAGGCATTTCTCACCTATTTGTCAAAATGTTTSTATGTTCTAGCTGACAGAGGATTCAAATACAGGAAATACTGAGAGTTTTTTTTTCTTAAATTTCTGCCTCTTAACAAATATTTGAAGAGGCAAAATCCTAAAACTTCTGTATTTCTGCATTGGTCCTTTCTGAATCAGATGTTTTTCCTCCAGCTTAGCTGCTGTTCTGTTTCTGATGAATAATAACTTTGCCTAGACATCATAGGAAATAATTGCATTTGGGCACACAATGAGACTTCCTGGACTGGTGAAGAAAACACACCTTCCCATAGTCCTTGTGTTGTGTCAGTGAGCAGTCATTCTCTTCAAAATATTGGTAATTGCTGTCATGGTAACAAAACAAAAACATGGCGTGGCAACTATTTTCAGCTTTGCACATGTGATATCTCTCCTGGCTGTAAAACACTCTAGTTTGTAACCAGGACAAGAGGTGTCCTCTAGCTTAAGCATGGCATGGATATTTTTTTTTTAAACAATGGTCCAGGTGTGTGTGGAGGTTTGTGCTGTTTTATTTTGTTTTGTTTTGTTTTGTTTTGTTTTGTTTTGTCAGGGTTTCTTCAGACAGATGGGCAGCAGGTTTACAGGTGGGAGGGGAATGACATTGCAGAGTGATCAGCTTACTCCTAGTAGCTCTTTGCACTACTCTGAACACCTCTTTAGCTGGGATGGGGTTGGCACTGGAATTCTGGGGGCTCTGGCAATTTCACCCCTTGTATTCTTTAGCAAAAGATGAACCAAGCCAAAACGACCACAAGAGCTTCACAGGAAGTTGTGGTCACATTGCAACTTGTAGGAAAAAAAAGTTCTTCAGATGGCTGTCGCAAAACAGCCAAGAAAACAGTGGGAAGGAAGGTGAAATAAACTGGCATGGAGGAGCATTTTAGTGAGGAATGAGGGTGGATTATGAACCAAGAGTGCACTGCTTTCATATTACTTTTTTCTTGGGATTTTGCAATAACAATTTAATGGTAATGCATTTTTTTCTCTGCCTTCTTTGCACCAGCCAACAATAACTTATAAGCATTGCAAAGAACACCCAGAAACATCCAAACCTGAAGAAGGCACTTCATCTRTTCCTGCATATTAGGGAGTATTTAATAGTAAACTATTGTCTTAGGATGTAATTCTACTGAGTTGGGGAAGAAAATGAACATTGAGGGATTTTTTTAGAGTGTGGATTTACTTGTGCTTCTGAAGAAGGCATGCTGGCCTTACCATATTTGGGTTTGATTCCAGGGAGCAGGATTCAAAGAGGTGATAGAATATTGTAATTGAGGATGAATTAGTTCCTAGTACTAATAATTAGATTTTTCAATCCACRCAGTTCCATGGCATGTCACAGGCTACGTAAAATTTGAGAAAGAGTGGAGAGTGATATTTAGCTTTCCGTCAGTATGTATAAAAAATCTGAAAAAAAATATTCTCCCTTCTTAATATCAAAAACCCACTCATGCCARCTGAGAAGGAAAGGTGCAAAACAAACAGGTCTAACTTTCACAAGAGGAAGTTRAGCTATGCTACGTAATTTTTTTTCATTTTCCCTTATTATACTGAAGCTATTACCAAAAAGGCAGACATTTTAAGTAATTTGATACAAAACTGGTAGARGGGGCACACACTTGGTCACAGTTTGCTCTCCTTTGAGCGGGTTTGTCATTACTACACTTAATGCCTTCTTAACTTGCTTTAACACGTCCCTGGTCTTCCAGTCATCACCTCATTTTCCAGTCATCACCTGTTGCTGCTACAATTGACCCAGCAGTAAAAAATTTGCTAAGAAAAGCTTGAATGATTCTGCTTCAGTCTTTGACAGAAATAAACATGCACATATCATCAAGAATCAACACTTTTATCTCTGCAAAGCCAATTTATAAATTATTAGATTAAGAAAACAAGTTCCAGGTTTTGGGGATATTCTGAATTTGAGGTTTCTTGATGGCTTGACCATATTAACAAACTTTATAAGTGCTCATACATATATTGTCATTATATCTATAAAATTCCATATTTTTTATTAAAGCATCTTTTTACTACAATTTGCAAACTCACAAGCAGAGAGAAGGTGTTCTGCTCTTAAATGTTTAGAAGTCTCTTCTAAAAATAAATTGGCTGCTTCAAGGTATGAAATTGATTAAAGCACTGTTTCTATCTATTTTATGTATGTCTATAATTTTTTTTTAAAGTCTGTCACACTGCCATCTCTGTAGAATTAGGCCACTGCAGTGTCAGTATCTGCCTTGAAACTTAGTCAAATTTAGTCATGCTTTTATCATACTTGTTAAACTAAGGCTAAATCTTTGCTAACTTYCTCCCCTGATTTAGACAGTACTAAAAGGAAGCAGTGCCTACTGCTTGCCAAGGCAGTAGGGAGAACTGATCATTGTATAGGGATTGAAATTTAGGTGAGGAGCTGAAGAAGGGGGAGTCGCTAACTGTAAGATT